GAGTCCCAAGCGACGATAACAACACACGATAAAAACGCAAAGACTCATGTGTAGACGCTTGTTTGTAAACAATGGCCACCTGACGCTATGGCCACCTGACGCATGCGCAGGCGACGACTCTCCCGCTTTAAGTAAGTTATTATGAATATTTATTACAGCACTATGAACGTGACAGGGTAAGAAATTCGATCACTTATATCGGATTCGTTGAAGGGAAAGGTGTTTGCTTTGAGCTTAATAGAGTTGCAAGTTCGAACCGAACCAATGCCCACACTCTAGTACTGTCGCACAAAATTGTGAAGGTTTCTAAAACAAGAGTAACGACTTTATATCTAGATGGCCCGTGGATGAAAGGACACAGTCGTACATGATACGATCGTACAGATAACGTCCTCAAGAACAAAGTAATGCTTCAGCTTACTGCCTCACAGACTGATACGTGCAGTTCATCGAGTAGGCAAACAACCACCTGTTAATGCCAAACAGGGGACATAAATAAATCATCTGTTGGAGTCGGAACTGTCTCTTGCCGGTAGCGTTTGCTTTCACTGTCCGCTTGGGTATATTGCGAGCGTACGTTGCGCCGATTATCAACATTCCCGAGGCATCGCACGTGAAAGAATTAATCTCGAATGATGGTGACGTGATTCATTGTGAAATAAATTTAGATTTACAAAAAAATCTTGTTTATTTGCGCGACCTCATCTTCGCCAGCCAAGGACCAATTATCCGTCCGAAGCCTCAACATTAATATAACCCTTGGCAGATTTCACCACGATTTTCTGTATGTCGCACGCCCTCAGACGATTATAAGATTCACTTGGGCTCATTTGAATAAACCCAATCAGAACTACACACTACTTGGCCCTACTTGGTAAAATTAAAATCTTAGAATATAGAAATCAACGTGTTGCTAGCTTTTTGTTCTGTGAACGAACTTTCTGGCCATCAAAAGAAAGCGCTTAGTGCTGTATCTGAGTTGCAACGAAACCCGATCGGGCAAGTCGATATGTTATCAGTTTCGACAGTTTTGTCAGTTTACTGTAACACGGTTTGCACAAATATTTAAACATTCCATAGTCTTCATTCACTTGCCTACAAACAATTTTCAGCGTTGGAATAACAGATTTTGAAAACGTGTCAACGAATATAGACCTTCCTGGTGAATCAGCGCAAAGCCTACACGCCGCCATTCTTTTAATCTGCGATGGCCCAAGACGTTCACATTTATGATACTGCAACGCTGATTGGTGGCGCGAGCTCCTTGGCGCGCCCAATCAAATGACTCAATTTAACTGCAGTGAAATACAGCTTTTCCTAGCAGGATTACGCACGGGTTCGTGGGCAGGTTATGAATGGCCGGCTTTAGCGAAACCTTGCGATTCGGACGATGGGTGGACCTAGGCAGAATATTATTTATATTGGAACAATGAAACAAAGGCATAAACGAGGATGATGTTTAACATTTGAAAATACAGTAAAACAACACCGAGCTAAGTCATGAAATAAACATGGATATGGACAGCTGCTATTACAAACTCTCGTTTGACGAAGTTCCGAGAATTGGGCTTTATATTATGCACTGCGTCCAGGAGCGTACTCATAAGCCATTAGCAGTGTGTATATATATATATATATATATATATATATATATATATATATATATATATATATATATATATATATATATATATATATATATACAACGTTTATAAACTCATAATCTTATTTATTATTATAAGGTCTGATTTTCTTATCAATACGTTATCACATCGAGGCACAGTATTTGTAAACATGCTCTGTGTTACTATTTGTCGCCTGTACTTGTTTTGAGACACCAGCCTTTAATGCATATTATTAGTACGTAGTTTGTCACGTTTTATGTTTATTGTATATTTGATTACTCGTCTGCAGTTAACCAAAAGAGCCTTCACGCAATACAAAACACGACCCACAAACGGGAAATTCAATCATAAGATGTCCCAGTGGCAGAATGAGTGCTAGTCATATGGTTCACATCGTTTTCATATTCCTTGTGTGTTTTTTTTGTTAATGCCATTACTATATGATGGATAGATATTTTCATGCCATGAGAAATCGTGTTGAAAGGCCTCAACGTAACCACGGTTCATTAACCTAATTTGACCTACTAAATTGATATATTGATATGCGGAGAAGGGTGCGCTCAATCTTTTTGAAACATCAATGCTTAGCCGAACGCTCCGATGGCTATGCATTCAATACGATGAGATTTGAAGGTGGCTATATGTTATAGGGCACTATACTGTTCATGTGTTATAATAGTGTGTTCAAGTCAAGAGGCCAGTATTTTGTCAGCGCAAAGCAGCGTTCAGTGTATCTATGCTAACGAGGCATATACTCCTGAGCCTTTTTCACTTTTTCATAGGTCAGTTGCCTCATTTTTGTTCCTTGCATCTTTGTTGTGATTGCTTTCTACCTTGTTGTGTTGCATATTATCATTGTTTTGACATATATCTGCCGTGTCTCAGTTGGTTTTGGTGTTTCTGTTTCTGTTAGTGGAACTCATCCGGGGCTTGCTTTGTTGGGTTGTGACACGTAAAAATGGTGTCAAGTGCATGTCATCGCTTGAAATAGCTGAATTCGTGTGTGGCATTCAACACACTTAAATGTTCTCACTGTACCACCACTTTGTTAAGCCACCTATGTCGTACTGCCCGCAGTGCCTCATTTTATTCCTGGCTATCTTTTACATGAACAACTATCGCAATATGCCTAAAGTACTTAGTAAAGTAAACATTATTCAACTTAGATGCGAAAGTCAGAGCTTGCGCCATGTAACCTGAACCCTAAAACGTCGTCCCCAATGTAATTGTATATTCCCTCTAAATAACTATGCGTGTCCTGGAAAGAAACATAAACAATTTAAATGGGGAGGGGCACTGAGGGCGGAGTTATAATTATAGTTAAGAGTGAGGAGTCATAAAGAACTCTTTCCTCAAATATTGGAACTGTTTTTACAATTCGCCATATATTAATCTAAGTAGTCAATTATTATTATCATGTTATTATTACAAATTCAAATCCAGCAACTTTTTTCCTACCTCTC